GAGTCTTACTCCTGCTGCAAGACAGTTTTGGGGGATCAGGGTGATGATAGTAATAATCATTTATTGGACACTCACAATGTATCAGATTTAGCATGAATTACTCAATTCGGCATGAAACAACTCCAGCAAGTGGACGCTCTGCCGATGTACATTGTTTATAGGTGAGAAAACAGAGGCGTGGGGAGCCTTGGGCGGCACATTCAGAAGGAAAAGAAACAGCCTCGAACCTCGTCTGCTCCAAGGGCTCCAGAAAAAGTGCCTCCTGCTTAGTTTTGCATTGTCTCTCCTGTGCCTTTCCAAATTAACACAACAAAAGTGGGGGCAGCTCTTCACACTGCATAAACATCTTTCATTTAGTGAAAGCAGGGATGAAAGAGTTGAAAGTAACCTGCACCGCTTCACTCATCATACGCCAAGTGCATTCTCTCGCTCCATCCTTAAACTCACCCCACAGACGTGCATGAGTCTGAAAATGAGGACAAGGAGGCTTGGAGAGGTTAAATGACTTACCCAGGACTGCACAGCTTGCGCGTGGCAGAACTCGGATTGAACCCAGGACTTCTGATCACCAAGCTAGATGGCTTCAAAGCATAAGAATGATCAAATAATTATAATTAATAGGGATTGAGCAATTGCTGTTGGACTTCTGCACTCGACCCTGTTATTGTGACAACTCTGTCATCCCAGCGCTTTTTCAGATGAGGAAACTACTGCTGATAAGGACCATGAGACTTACCTGTGGTGGAGAAGTCCCAGTGGCTCCTACAAGCCAGATTCATCTCCTGTCCAGAGCGGGGACACGGGAGCTGCACTCTCCCTGTCTCAGGCACTGGGGAAGATCTATTCACCACCAGTTCTGCCTCAGCGTCCTCTGATGACCTGCCCCCTAACTGGGAGTCTCCTCTCTGACCGGGCCCAGGCGTCAAGTCCTTCCCGGTTCTCCTTTGGGTAGCCGCAGCAAGAACTGCCGTTCCAGGGACTGCGTCTGCATGGTGAAGCCCTGGGTCTGAGCCTTCTCTTGACATGAGTTTCTTCCAGGACAGGTCCCTCCTTCCCTTGTGATTTTCCTGGAACTTTATGTGGTGAAGCAATCAACGTCGCCAGGTAGATGCCCAAGACCCATTTGGGGAACTTCCCAGTTTCTATCCCCACCACCCTGGGCCTCCCACCCTGTGTCGGAACTCTTCACTCACTGCCGCTCTCCACGCCCATCCCTGTCAATCTTCCAGCCATGCACACAGGCCCAGTTAGGAAGGGTCACCCTGTCATGTGTCTATTTCATTGGCGTGATTAACAGCAACTTCTCCACTACATCTCCCCTGGTCTTCTCTGTTCCTGTGTCACTCAGAAGTCTTTGCCCTCCTACTTGGTAGAAAGCTTCTTTTTCCTTCATATAATTACAACTTTGAAGATGGTTTCTTGTCTCTCAGTGGGAATCCGTTTATTCCTCCGTGTAAGCCTTTTTGCTTTGCTGTCTAATTTCCATTCATCGTGACAAAAGACGCAAGCACATTTCATTTCACCCAATCCTTTAAAAAATTGGTATCGCTTTTGTTTCTCTTACATTTTATTACCTCTGTAAATTTATTACCTCTACATAATGATGTTCACTTATTTCTCTTAACAGATGAGCAAGTACGAGTCTCTGTAATTAAGGCATGGATCCCAACTGCCAAGATTGGAG